ATACTTGACTTGACTAATTTGCAGAAGGTGATCCGGAAAACTTCCATAATATATGTGGATGTGTGTATTATGCAGGTAAGTTGGCGCCAATTAATGAGCACACTCAGGATTAGTGCTTCAAACTGCATNNAAGAGGATATAAACAGAGAATGATTTGGGGGCAATCACGAGATGAGTCCTTCTAGGGTGCCATGAAATAGGAGACGGGATTCGATATGAATCACGTACCTCGCTCATCTCAATTAGAGGATCTGACATAGCTCTACATTCTAATAGTGGATATTGTCCTCATTTGCTAGAAGGATCAGTGCCATCTGCACTATATGGATTACTAGGCGCATTTAGGAGATAGTAACCCTAAAATAAGAAGCATAAATTGCTCAATTCATGTGGCAACATGAGTATCACTAAGATGATACGCTTGGGTATAGTATAAATCACATCTGAGTATAAGGAAAACGTTTTCTATGAAACAGATGATAAATATCAGCAAAAGATTATATTTTAGCTGTCTTTTTATGAGTACCCGCATGTATATTAGAAACTTTAGTGAACTTTTACGGTGTGTTTGTAAAAGGGTGCTCCTCGCAATTAATAGTTTGAAAGGGATTTTTAAGTGACGAGTTAGTCACTTTCAGGTAGACAATTATCAGTTATTATCGCAATTAATTGTGACCGGTGATCCAGGATGCACCCTTCACGCTTTTTATGCAAAGGATCTCAGATAAACCGGTAACCATGCGCTATTGTTTGTCCCTCGAAGGTGAGAGTAACTCCAATTCAATGGTTCCACAATGTACCGTTGAATTACTAAGCTGTGGATAGTGAGAAGATGTCGAGATTACCAGAAGGTCACTGAAAATCGAAAGGTAAATCCATTGCATCCCGGGAGTAAAAACAAGGACCTGTGACTTCACTGTTTTCTTTACATGAAAGCACTTCCATCTTTTTAAATTGTTTTGTCTGGCAATTTACATAGATTTTTTCTATTCTAAGAGATAAATTTCAGGCCTTGAAACTTTCTGGAATTCGCCTAACTATCAAGTGCATTCCAATTGTGGTGCAGGTCTTTAGATAACCCACAAACAGTCCTGAACAGCCTATTGCTCAGATTGGCCTGAGATTGGTCTGCGATTTGTCATCAGTGTCTACAACTTTGTTCCATTGTTCATTGCCAAACGTGTAGGCCAGATTCAATGGATTCGCCTCCCATTACAAACGTCGCCTGTTCGAATCCTCTCCTCTCACGGAGAGCACCATACAGCAGACTCTCAAAGGTCTCCGTTTAGTACGTATTGGTTAGATATAAAACAGCTTTTTCTCGTTGTGCGCCACGTACGCTTTGCTTAGCGTTATTTAGGCTATCGACAAATGTATCACGTTAATCGAAGACTTGCTTATCATTATCGGTCTTGCTCAAGTTCACCTGAACCTTATTTCACTCGTTCTCCATAAATAAAACAAAAACGTAGGGTGGATTTTATCTGCATCAGATTGGGAATCGTATTTGCTTTTCTTAACCAATGGTAGTTAGTTGCAGTGAGAATGTTGGAAAGGCGACATAAACAGCAACATCGGAGTATTGAATTCTAAATCTATCGACTGCCATAAATCTTCTTCATTTGTGTATCTCACCCGGGTATCCTTCAATTGATTGTACTCTCCTTCCTGAATATTTAATTTGAATTTGTATGGTGGATAAGCGAAAGGGATATAAAGGAACTATCACCATTATTTTAGTTAATAGACTCAAGGCACTAAGAATGATTACGTAGACAAGCGATAGAAATAGCACTCGTGGTCAAACACTGCAAGTTTTCTATAACACGAAATTAGCCGCGGTGGTTGGTGCATTGGAACACGAAGAAGCGGTTTCCACGATATGTACCAGAAGTACTCAGTGGGCCAGAAAGGGTTTAATAATTAGATTCCGTGTTCTCTCTGTCATAAAATTCCTTATTCAACTGCAGCGAAGTTGATTAGTTCAAGATACCAATCAGGAAACTGTAGCCTTTAGCTCCTCGTAGATTTTTATCACTACGCTGTGTAAAATTGCATTCCGTGGTTTGCAGGATATTATGAAATCAATAATTGCTACTTCCTCGGAGCAATCAGGGTGATTTGTTTTATGTGATTTACTGAATGTGAAATATGTTAATTGATGTATGTCTTAGGAACGTTTATCAATACGATAGCAATTTCCTCAAAACTAACGGACTGTGTAGAAAAAAGCTTAATCTAACCAATATATCTGGTAAGGATCTAGTAGTATCTTGTCATCTCTGATGTACTCGCTTTCCTTCACTCGGTTCCAACCCCCCACCCCACCCCAGGCACATACTCTGTGTAACGTGGATGTGTTTTTGTGTGTACAACGGACTGTCACTGGTTGCTGGTAGCGATTGATTCGGCGCCTTCCCATGCTCTCTCTCTCAGTTGTGTCATCCGAATCGGACATAGTTTGTCTCGGTCGACTGCTCTAATCGATTCACATTTCCCATATTCATCCATGCATAAATGAATAAATAAATAACTTACTGTTGCACTGCTTGTTATACTGGCATGATTTCTTTGAGCAGTTAAAAAGAATTGAATAGTCTAAGATCTAACATTCCAACAAGGGTGAATGGAAAAATAGAAACCATATTACAATACCTTCAGATGGGTAATATTTGGGTTACCCCATTCGGTTTTTCACCAGGCACTGTTGATGATGCATTCAATAATTTCCACTAGTAAGCATCCTTTATTCGGTCATCTGGTAAAAGGGTTCAACCTTTCCCATTCGTAAAAACGCCATGCAATGATGATGATGATGATGATGATGATGATGATGATGATGATCGATAATTCAAGATCAGAGCTATCTTGTCCTTCATCCAGAGTCAAAGTTAAACTTCACGCAAACATCGGTAGAATCATACTTTCCAAACACTTATTGGGATATGCACGATTAAACGTATATATGGTTGAACAGATATTTCTGTTTTTATGACTGTCCGTTGCGTCGTTCCATCAATCATTACAGTATGACGAATTTGTCTAGACAACACGATTCAATATAATAATATGTTCTGGTAGGCTTGTAGTTCAATAATTTCGGTCCCGGTTTTTTTGAAGTACACGACGAATTTCCCAAAGTATTCCAACTCTTTTGTTACAAAGGACAGTTCAGCAAAGTGTTCACGATTTTAGTGTCTAGAGCTAACAAAAATTCAGGTATTTCTATGGTTATTCACTATTTCTACCATTAACGGAAATCAGGGGCGATTCAAAACTGGGTGAATAGCTCAGTTGATTCTATATCAGGACGGGAATGTAGCCAAAGCCGAAATTTCGGGTTCAGGTTATGATGTCAAATATCTGAANAATGATGCCACTTCGGCAAATGGACGTTTTTTGAAACAATGGGAAATATTTCGAACTACCACAGTCGTTAAAACTTTGGCTGCTGTAAATCAGCCATATCGCATTATTTCATGAAAATTGCTGCCAATCAAACACGTCAGTGTTAGATACGAAATTAAATGTACCCTTAGGTATTCTATGAACCTATGAAGCTGTTCCCCGAGTCACTTTTTGGCTTAGATTTATCACTGAACTACATCTAAGGCTTGGCCATTTAGCATCATCCCCAAATACAGTAGTCTTACATCCGGCAAACCTATGCATCGGGCCACATGTATGGACAACACCCCGGCAGTTTGCGTGGATTCGTAACGTGAGTGATTGATCGAATGGGGGAAGAGGAGGTAATGGGAATCTCAGTTCAGTTGTTTGAAGAGATTACTTTTGTTAATTTCATTGCTTATTCCACTCACTTTTTGCTGATGGTACCACTACTGAGTGATGAGTAAGTAATACCACACTGAGAATCAATCTAACAAAGAATGAAAACTATACCAAGAGAAACCATTTGCTGCTATCTATGTATCGCTTTCAAATAATCTAAACTGAGCTCAATAAGAAGGAGTGGTACAAATGTATCTGCAGTCTAATGGTTTTTCATAGCGAGTGTATCGCTCACTTGGATATTTCTGGATTTGATTGGGTTTGGAACAACATTGATTAGGCTAGCAACTAACAAAACTCCTTTTGTATTATTTTTAGCGAAAACTGAATGTAACGAAACCCCTTTAAATGTAGATTCACACGTGCTGCTTATTACAGGCTGGCGACACGGGACAGGAAGAAAGAGTAGTTATGTATCAGCAGAGACACTAATATCCGTAAGTGTTCAACGGACCGGTACAAATCAACTGAAATAATCGGAATACCCGCAGTTTAAATCGGCAATATATAATACCGTGGTTCCATTAGGGTGAACCGGCTTACACATTTGCTCACATCTGGCCACTTCCGGAAATGCACATTGGTTCAAACAAACGGAGCGCAAAAGTTGTGAACGCTTTGATTTCAAGCCTAGGTTTTCATTCCCTCCCTCTCATTAGAAATACTGGGAACTGTTGTATATGTCTTTGTAATAAAAATCGGTGACTCTGGAGCGACGTAAATCTGCTTTAAATCTCCCGATAAATGTACAACTGTTAATTAGTAGGATATCTGTACGACCCACAGCTACTCGTTTCCATAAACGGTGCGAAGAACAAAAATGGCGATCACATGAACTTTCTGGCTGTGACCATTTTTCAGATTTCAAATGTTCACTGTAAACGCTCTGCAATAAACCCGGTATAACGTAATGTGAAACCATTTTGGGTTCTTCAGCAATGATTATGTCAATGTCGTTCTTAAGTGATAGCATGTCTCACAGTGGTTGACCAAGTATATTGGTCGTGCGAAAGTATGTCACACTATAATGACGTTTGATTTTCAACTACTGACTAGTTGCCAGTAGTCAGTAGCATGACTTGAGGATGTGCATTTGGATCCGTACATTCAGAAAGCAAAGGTTAACCGTAGTTTCACTTTAGAATAACTTAGCCGAGAGGTAAACTTGTTATCCGTAACAATTTATTGTCAGTACTGTATCATTTTGAATGAATCAAATACTGTATGTAAGTCGTGGATTAATAAGGCTGTAGTAGTTCTGGTTCTTAGACATTCGGAGAATAGGTGGCTCATTTTTAGGCGAACCATTGAATTGAGGTAATGAATGACTTTAGCAAAGTTTAACGCATACCCATGAATAAGTAAATTGTATTGAGAATAACACATTTGTGTTCATTGATATATCAAATTGTTGGCAGCAGTTGACTACCGATGGACATTATGCATTTTGTTTCTTGTTGTCATATTTCATTTCCGGAGAATATAAAAAGAGAAATATTTTAACCAGGTGTCAAATTTAGAATGCAAATCCAGTCATTATATTCAGATGAACTTCATTTCAGCAGCTGTCACGGTATACCTAATGAACTTTCCGATGTGCACATTCTTCAGTGTTTATAAGAAATACATAGTCTTATTGAATAGTCCGTTTTGCAAACGTCTAAAATTGGCGTGACCTAGACGTTTAACGGGGTCTGTGACAAAGGAAAGCAACATCTGACACCAGAGACTATTCAATATTCTGAGTGTTACTCCCTTATCTAATAATTTCTAATGTTATATAACGTGTAACATACTACTCTCAACATCTTTGCTTTACAGAGAAGAACATATAACGCCGCCGCCGCTGCCGCCGCCAAATCCCCACACATTCGCTCTGGCACAACACGCATCAGTACAACAACTACCCCCAATCCCAATACGACTAGCAGCTCCAAGCCTGGCACGGGTAATGCGGATAGGAAACACATTGTGATATGCGAACCCTCGCCAACATTTCGGGGACAAGCTGGTGGGCCAAAACGTGTTGGAACCGGTCAGGTTCGCACTCGGTCTACCGGTTCGTTTCCCAAGAAGTCCGCTCTTAAAGTGAGCCAATCACAAGATCAATACCATCCACCGAGAACCGGTCGATCACGCCAATTGGATCGATCATATCTGTCAGGTCAAATCAAGTACGATCCAAACACGACATGCTCAAACGTGAGGAGAAGGAATAAACAGCGCCTCCTGTTCAACTCCAGGTCACTATTCCATTTTACCCGATTACATACGGGGACACAATCGGCAAACGTGAAGCAGTTACGCTCAGATCACCGCACTGCTCGTTCGTCCGCATCACAAACGGCATTACCAGCCCAAACACCGGAGACTTATGATTCCGAAGTGGACGCTTACAGCCGTTTTCTATTCCCTGCCTGTTTTGTACTGTTCAACTGCTGCTACTGGCTTTTCTATATGATTATCGCGGACGATCACCCACCAGAACCCTCGTGACCAATCACCTCCATTACGTAATTATAACGGATGTACGTCTTTCACTGCTTATAATGGATTTAATTAGTCAGACCAATAGTGCTGAAACATGTTTGTAGGGCTTCAAACCCAGAACAATAATTCCTACTTCCCCCTGAACCCAAACTGAACTCGATTCAATCCGCCGAACCACGCCTCACCTTCCATACCCAGAATCCACCTCCAGCTTCTAACCACCTCACTCAATATTGTTGTTTGAACTCCTCACCTCACCTCACCTCACCTCAATCCATCCTCTCCTCCTCAGTCGCACAGAACCTCACACAGATGAAGTTGTGTACAATAGGGGTTCTGATAGATAAGTGCATTTTTGTGAGCGCATATTAGACCGTTTATCCTTAGAAAAGAAAAAACTAACATTTTTTTACATATTCACAATTGGAATTCTGAAATTTCTGAACATGGGGTCACTTGAGCTGTTTGTACCGAAAAAAATGCTTGTGAAAACTGACTAATTCGATCGCTTGCTCAAAAACTTTTGGCAAACATTTTCCTCAAAATAGAATAGGAATGACACATGGAAGAAATGGTCTGCAACAATTCTAAACGCCGTTGCTACCGTTAATCCCAAGGAAACACCTGGTAAATCCCACCCCTAAGTTCAATTTGTGACAGTGTCTAATGGTAAAATTGGAAACCGGTAAGCGTTCGTGACAAGCCCTGAACATTCGGATTCACCGAATTTCAGAGGCTCTACGAACTACAGACTCCACATGCATGCGTGCACAGTTAGGATAAAATAAAACAAAGTCAACCTAAATAAAAAAAATCACAACGTTTTGCTCATTAAATTTTCATTTGGGTAATGAAATGTTGCAGTTAGATACAATCGTTATGATGGACAAAAGGCGCGTTAAGCGAGCAGATCAATAGCGATGTAAATATCGGATTCATTCGCCTGTATTAGCTCCGTGCAGTCATGGCGTCCGGCTCATCAAGAAATTAAACAGTAGATAGGCCCAACTAGAAAGGCTTCATAAAGTAGTTTTCGGATGCAACTGCGATAATTGTATCCTACTTGAGTAAGCCTATATATTTATACATGTTCATGAAACTGGTTTAAATAAATGAGTCGATTGGGTCAATATCCCAGAAATTATTGACGCAAAAATTACAAAAGCTAACGTTTTTTTCACAGTGAACTCCAAGCGTTTTGATCTCAACTGTGGATCAGTAAACGGCATGATTGTTCCACGCCGGTCTAAAATGCTGTACTATTTCATTACTAGACCGGGACAGAGTAAAGTAAATCCATAGGATAACAGAAATACGCCAGGCTAAGGGAGACAGTGGAAAATGAGCATCAGGGAAGTATTGCTGTGTTGACATATGATTTCTTATCCCATTGTTAACGACCGATATGATTGCACGTGCAGAATACAGTTGTATGGTATTAACAATCTGGGATACAGTAGAGGTTGAGTAGACGGAGTTCGGTGAATGCAGCAGAGTAGTCGAGCTCCGTAGTGTTTTGCCAAATGTGAAGATCGCTTTGTGTAAGCGCAAATCAGACGCAGTTGCATTTGGATAAGGCGAATTACAAACAGGATGAGGAAGATATTCAAAGAATGAGGATGATAAACACATCCTTCAAAAAGTTGAACAACATATTTATTGACAAATATTTCGAGTTCCGAACGCTTCAAAACCAATGAAAGACGAGAAAATCACAAAAATTGTACCATTCAAGGAGCCACCAGAAGAACATAAAGAGTTATGACCAAGAAAACAATTTACTCACATCATGAAGCATTTTCTATCTGGAATGATAGAGGATTGGTTGGATCAGGCACTTGTAAAAATAGCTGGTTTGTACTGTATACAAGCAATTTTGCATCTGCCATCAAAGGTAAACTAGTACAATGAATTATCCGACATAGAACGCATTTTATAATAAGCACATTGGGAACAATCAGCCAAACTTAGGGGAATAGATGCGTAATGGGAATTTGATGGGCATGGTGGTGGAGGCGGTAGGATCAAACATACTAGCCTCGTTGTGGCGAATGAGGATTATGCAAAGGGATCTCCAGTGAGTGGCCAAACTGGCAGGTATCTGTAAAAAATGCACTGTTTACTGCAAACTAGGCTTGTTCAGAGCGGAATGAGTAAAATCCGGAAGACACTAGTGACTACAGAGAAGTTGAGTAATAATGTGAAATGTCTACACCAGCGCCCAACTCAGTTCAGAGTAGAAAAATTGTCACTGCTCTCCAACTTTGTAATAGGTAGCTCGTTTGCACAATCTTTCGTGGTAACACAAACGGAAAATATACTTCAAAGTGGCATCCGCGGTGCCACTGAACCTCTTCTCTTTTTCAACATTCAGTATTAAGATAACCGTGGTAGAATATTTTACCGACCTCTACTTAATACCTCAAGGAGCACCCGGTACAGAGTAATCACCGCCTGTGGGATCATGGATAACTTTAACTCATTCATATCACCACCAGTCTCGTTCGATAACTACAATGATCACACGAATATAACCAGTATGTGAAAAGATGCAACGGGTTGAGCAATGATACAATAAAGATAAAAGCTTATGCGATGAAGCTGAGTAGCGAAGGCAGAAGCCGCAGGTAACAGATTGTTGCCATTGCCATTGTGGATTGAATGTATTAATCAGCCAGGGAATGGCAGAAAACTATGATTTCTGTTAGCTAGTGAAGAGATTGGAATTTGATCTTATTATTCAGATGAAGTAAGGTTACTTCTCTCACCAATGTTATTAATGTTAAGTAACTTGTGAAGATTACATCACTGATTACATCACTTGCTATGCATGACCTATGGTTTCTACTGTATATTACGTAACTTAATCCCTCTCTCGTCTTAGCTCACAGCCTTCATTTAATCTGTTCATCTCTCGAAAGTTTGTCTATTTGACCTTTGTGTTCTCACCCTCAACCACGACTATCATTAGCCGTGTCATATTCTTTTGATCTGTTTGCTCTCCTCTGTCATCGTTACGAACTGAGATCTAATCGGCCAATCAAACATCTGTATTATGATCACCTTATATTTGTAAACGCCTGATGCTATATACCGAAAAGAAATTTCTTCGCGAATACCGTTTCCTACATTGTCTATGGGACTATTTTGCAACTTGTGAAGTGTGCATTTCAATGTCAGAAATACGTAAGCAATCGCATTTGATTCAAAGGAATCGGTTTTATTCAAGACAAACTCGGCCTCAATAGGATTTACTCATTCGGTTATTGTGGGCTTAGACTGATTCCACTCATACAAAGAATCATGCTCACATTCACATCTGGGCATGATGACCGACTTATCGATCCATCTTGGTGTGATTCGCTTCCTTACCGGACCGACAGAGGTCAATTAACTCCGGGTTAGTTCATTCGTATATATGATGCACAGTCGATCAACAATCACGAACATAACTTTCCCGGGTGGAACGGGGGTGTGTGGGGGGGGGA